TGGCGTGTCATGTTCGAACAATCAGCCTTCTTTCCCAGAGCTTTCTAGGGCAAGTAAACATGAAGCAGAAAAGTGCTCTGGGTGACGTACATTTGGAGCTGTCACATCTCTCATACCTTTGCAGGCTGTGGGGTTTCCATGCTTAGAACAAATGTTGATCATTATCCAGTGACCCTATTTTGTGTTGGTGGGAGCTACTAAACACACAAACCACAAAGTTGAAAAAAGCTGCCGTGTCTACTCTAACGAGGCAGAGAACAACGTAACCTAGACCAGTGTTTCTCAACCTTGGCCACTTGAAGATGGGTGGACTTCAACCCCCACAATTTTTTCTGGCTGGGGAATTCTGGGAGTTGAAGTCCACCCATCTTCAAGTGGCCAAGGTTGAGAAACACTGGTCTAGGTTACGTTGTTCTCTGCCTCGTTAGAGTAGACACGGCAGCTTTTTTCAACTTTGTGGTTTGTGTGTTTAGTAGCTCCCACCAACACAAAATAGGGTCACTGGATAATGATCAACATTTGTTCTAAGCATGGAAACCCCACAGCCTGCAAAGGTATGAGAGATGTGACAGCTCCAAATGTACGTCACCCAGAGCACTTTTCTGCTTCATGTTTACTTGCCCTAGAAAGCTCTGGGAAAGAAGGCTGATTGTTCGAACATGACACGCCATCATGGCTTGTTAGGAATGGATCTCATCAACAAAAATTATATTAGAGGTTTTAATTCAGATTTGAGTTTTTCTGGGGTTTGTTTTTTCCTGTCACCTCCCATAAGCCAACACCATAAACCATCAATTTCTTTGTGTCAGAAAGCAGGTTAGACATGCATTTTCAGAGAGGAACAAAAACATGTAGCTTGCCAGCTTCCCTCCTTCCCCTGTGATAAGTGACAGTGACTGGCCGTGAGTCACCCAGCAAACTCTGTCATTGAGTGACTGCTCCCAAATGCACATGAAGAGGAGGAGGGAGGGAGAGGAGAAAACACACTTCAGACTCTGTAAGATTAGCCTCTTGGGGTCAAAAAGCTGTCCTTACTTTTCCCCCAGTTTGACTGAACTTTTTCAAAGAATCTTGCCTTTTGAAAGTAGGCTAGAGGAGAAAAAATAAAGTGCACTTTAGGGCTTTCTATTATCCTTCATGATTTTTTTAATGTTTCTTTATAGAGTGTCTAAGCCCAGGGCTTAAGCTCCCTTGAGTGCCATTTTGCCAACGGCATCATTACGGGTGAAAAGCTGTGAGTTTGTATTCATCCAGAATCCTTCTCCCCCCCCACCAGATGTTCTTCTTACAAGAAAGAAAGAGCAAGTTAGTGATCCGCTCACCCATGGGGAAACAGGCAGATGTTTTTTTGTGAGGATGCACTAAGGAACTTGCTCTAGCTAGAAAGAGAAAGAGGTACACGTCTCAATAAAATTGCCTGCAGTTCAGTTTGAGTTAAAAAGCGCTTCTCTCCTGAGACTTAACGCCCTTGAGAATGATTTTAGTTTGTGTACAAAACAAGACAAAAAGCCACTGCATTGGAAAGCCAGTATAGCACGGTGGCCAAGATGTTGGGCCAGGACCATGAAGATCCCTGGGTGATTTGGGGTCACCCCTTCACCTAGCTATTTTAGGGGACCCCTCTTCAGATAGTATACCACTTTGAATGCTCAGAGAAAAAGCGGAATATAAATCTATTTGGACTCAGGTTTATGACCCAGAAAATATGATGTTCATGGAAATGTATGGAGTCTAAACGAAATTTCAGGGCAGGACTAAAAATGATCAAGCAAGCATGGGGGTTCCAATCCAGTGTTGATAATTTCTACTATCAATCTCTCTCCCCCGCTCCCATATCTCAGCTCCCATGGGATGCTTGTAATGCTTCTCCACTTCCAATCTGGTCTGACCCTAGAAACAAACCCAATCGGGAAGAATTTCTATCCATAAATGCTCTGTGCATTACATTGCCCTCCACTGGCAAACATGGGTTTGAAACTCACACATTTGTTCACATGGCAGCACAGCCCCACCCAATACAATGCCTAGCATTTACTACAGTAAGATTGTAAGGTGTATTTGGATAACTATCTGCAGAGGGGACAAGGAACCAATAGTCAGTTGCATCATTACCATGCAAAACTTAGCAAATTGATTACCATAGTTTGCCTGCCAGCAAATAGTACCTGATTTCTATGCTGCTACAAATGTACTGCAAGTTGTTAAAAAAAAAAATCAGGTGAAGCTTCAGATGTTGGGTAACAGAGATTGGAAGGTTAAAGTCATCAGTGTAGTTCAGCATAATTCTCTAGGCCCTCCTTAGAAGAACCCTTAAACTGAAACTCTCTTTCTGCAGAGAAGAGGCACTTGCTGTTTACAGTGATTTCAAATGCAGAAGTCAGAATACTTGTTGATAATATTAGGAAAGACTCCTGTCAACAGTCTATAAAATAACTGGAACTGGTTATTGATTTTTTTGGCTCTGGCACTCTTGAAGCTAATTCTTCTAATCCTTGTGTTGATACCAACAGAGACAAGGACCAAAGATTTAAGTCATTCTATTGATACCATAAACATCAATGATTTGCATTTTTGCCAGGAAAAGGATTCTACTGCAGAATGAGGCCTTTAGGGCTTCTGACTACATGCTTCTAAATTACTCTCCAACAAAGCACTGTATATAGCCTGGGCTTACCAAAAAATAAACAGTGCGAAGGCTGCAAACTCATTCCACTGTTGTAAGATAGCTCCTTAGCGAACCCAAAGGCTAACTGGGATCTCAACCAGGCTTCCCAACCTATCCACAGTGATAACTTAAAACACTCCAACTGGAAATCCATGAGTCTTCAAAGTACTTAATGTTAGATGAACCATCATTCACTGTTATTCAACTCTGTCAACAGCCAATGTCATCAGTTCTTAGCAGGAAAGACCTATGTATCTTAGTGTAACTTACGCAGGGGTAAACTATGCAGGGCTACTATAACCCAAGAGGAAAGACAATATTCAATGCTTAACTTTTAAAAATAGTATAGCATGCTGTCTTTCAGCAGATCAATCTGATCTTTTTTTAAAAAAGAACTTACTAATTCTTAACTGCAATAGTATTCTCTGAGGCGAACAGAAATAGAAATGTTAGAAAGCTGTGAATTTGCATCAAGCCAAACCCTGAAAATGAAAATGTAAATTCAGAAGGCTATAAATTATAGCTTTTGCTTTTTTTTTTTAAAATCCATGTTTTTGGCAGAAGACCAGAAGGCAGAGGGAGAAAAAAACTGAAGACTCCTACTTACTTTCTGGCTTTGAATCCACGGCTGCATGACGCATGTCCTTGAGCTGAAGTTGGACTCTCTGTAGTCGCTGCTCTGCATGAAAAAGCTGAAAAATATGCACAGGGGGTTATTCATCTGCCGGATTCTTTGGAAATAGATAGCTTCACAGCTTCTTGCAAAACAAGGAAAATGTCTATGAAAAGCCTACTAAATAGATGGAGAACGCACACAAAAAGCTCTCTGTTCCTCCCAGACATCAGAGGGCATTCAAAGAGCAGATCTGGCAAGACACAGGGTCCACCTGTTGCGCTAACTCTGGGCAGCATTTTTTAGGTGGACTTGGTGAACATTATGTTCGTGGTTGGGAAAATCCTCCTAACCTAAGGATCCTCCTAAGAAGTCAAGGGGTTAATCTGTCACTTCAAAGAAACCTTCCAGAGCCTGACTCTCATTGTCCCCAAGCATCCCCACGGGAAGCCTTTCACAGATGAGCCTGGGATCACTCGAACTCAGCTGCTGGCTAGCTGGGGGCTTGCCTGCTGGCAGATTCTCCAGAGGCTGGCAAGCAAGGCAACCGCCCCCCCAGGGTCTGGTATGGGGAAGCAGGAAGGGATCAACGGGAACCCCTACTTTCTCCGCAACCCAGAAAGCAAGGCTTGTTGGGAGCTTTAGCGCCTGTAAAAGAGGAAGACTCCTCCCAATGACAATACTGGGCTCTCTGAAGAAACCCACGTTCCTGAGCGGAACAGTTATACCAATACCTGGTTTTTCTGTTCTTGCTTTTGCTGGGCAAGAGCTTCCTCCCGCTCTTTCTCCACTCGAAGCTGGCGGGCCATTTCAAGCATTCGCTGATGATTCTGCACCGTCTCCACCTTTGGAAGAAGGGGACGAGCCAAGCAAGTGAGCCGAGAAATCCATCAGAGCGATTGTATGTCTCGCAGATTCACACCAGGCTTCCTTCCTCTACTAAACACTTTGCGGAGCTGTCACCTCAGTGTCAGGCGCAAGGTCTTTAGAAGTCCTGGAGCACTGCCTGAAGAAGATTCCCTTTCCGCCTGAGAGCCATTTGATTCCTTCTCCAGACTCGCAGCCTGTAAACCTTAATTCCTGTTTGCATTCCCTAGTGAAACTTGCGAGCCAAGGGTGATGGTATCTCACTCCTCCCCCTTACCCGCTTCTTCAGCCGTTCCACTCGCTTCATCAGCTGATCCTTCTCCTCTTCCATTGCGGTGATATCCTAGTAGTAACACAGACGCAAATCAGCGTCGTACTGTAAAAGTGAAGGAACGTCTAGCCCTACAAATCAGAAACTCCTCAAATGAGAATATCAATGTAGCCAAGTGAATTCCAGTGGCACTGGAGTGCACTGATGAGAGTCAAGTCAGTGTATTCAAAGGAGGACAGGTCTTACTTTATAGAATTTGGAGAGGAGCACAAGTTGCACCAAGATTTCTGACATGCGAATTCTCAAGGGCCTCAATTCTCAATTGGCACGGACTTCAGGCAACCAAGGAATTATCAACTGGCAAGTAGGTTTGTAAAGTATTTCTGAGCTAGATGATCCATGTAAATTTAGACGAAGTGGCTTTACCTATTTAATGTATGGAAGTTTTATGTTCATTTTCAGAGCAAGTGTTGCAGTAGTGCTGGCCTAGATACAGTTTTAAAAATTCAATTATCTGAAATGGAACCATTTTCTTAACAACACAAGTTTGTAAGCAACACAATCAATTTCCAGTTTAAAAACTTTTTTTGAAAAATATGGGCATTTGTGGGGAAAGGCAAGGGGGGGGCAAGTGACATCATCTACATTATGACATAATGACGTAAGCTTCAAAATGATATTTTACAAATTACATCATGTGCATCATTTCCTGAATGACATCATGACACACGTGATGTCACTTGGGCTTCTACCACCAAACACCTACATTTAGAAATCTCAACATTTTTTTACCCTTCTTATTTCTGCAGTTGAGAAGCCAGATGTCTTGAGCTGTTCGCATTCTTTATGTAAGCTTTTGAAAGCTTCCATCAGTTCTTCATACTGTCAGAAAGAAAAAGATTATCTCTAATGCCAATATGACAATCCAATTAACTCTGAGCACTATAACGCTTACGTGATTTATATCCCCAGTGATCCCTGATCCTAACCACAGGTTAATGGATTAACAGATCTATGGCAGTCTCTTGAAATGACCCATTTCATGGACCAAACCCTATTGACTAAATCCGAAACCATCTTTGTTCTGCATTTAAAGAACAAAGCACCAAAAATAAACAAAAAATGCACACACAAAATTTTTGTAATTAGATGATATAAAAAAGTGATTTCTAGTCCCAGAACAAAATATATATTACAACATAGCAGACCAAAATTGTAGGGCTACTATCTCACGTCAGCAGACAGAAACGTATTGTCTCATTATGACACAGTTAAACAATCCCAAAATTGTTTAAATCCATGGTCTACCTTTGGTTTGCCTGTCTGAAAAGCCACAATTTGATAAGCTTTTTGTGCCTGGCTTTCCTGAAGATGGTATGAGAAATATATTCTAGATGGTACCTGTCTGTTGGTATCAGCAACTGTGTCATCCTGAAGGAACTCAGTTGGCACGTCCACTTTGATCAGAAAGCGTGCAAGATAGGCCCTTTTCTTGAGCTCACTGGTCCGTTGTAGGAGCCAATGCAAGACAGGGTGGACGACAGGCTTGCTTCCCGTCACTAACCCTTGACGGAACGTGCTCCTGCGCAACAGGAGTAAAATCATCCGAAGGTTTAAAATAACAGTAACCAATAGCTAGCAGCTTCTTGCATGCCTATCACAAGGCTGAGAACTAATCAAACTAAATATGTATTGGCTTTTGATTCTCAATGCAGATTACAACCTACCCTCGCTATAGTGGATGAAGGCAGTAACCAAAGGTGATCTTATCCTGCCCCTCAGTTTCACAGGGACTTTAAGGCAGCTTATATAAATGAACTTTACAACATTACAAAAAAATACTGAAATAGAAACAGCAGGATCATTAAGAAGAGATAAACTTAATAGGAAGATAAATGATTTAGCTACAATGCGTATCAATCCACACTCGTCCCACAGGTTTCCCAACTATTTCACCACTCATCAAGTTGCAAGGACTGATTGAGAAGGGTGCTTAAGAGGTGTGGCTCTAACCTAGTACAACTGTGGCCTGTTCTGGGATGAGGCAGGCAGCTTCAGGCCAAGCCAAACCTTTCTAGAATTTCTCCTTGGCTCTTGGAGACACCTTGTAGTCATATTAGTTTAACCCCATCTTGCTTATACCTGCTCCTCATCACTTATCTTTATCTCTGTAGATTTTCCAACCTCAGGGACACCTGTTTGTCATGTGATTCTCCATCAATCAAACCATCTCCCAATTTTTCTCAGCTTTCCCAAACTCTACATTTTCCAAAAGGCCGTTCATTTCTATGCTTCCGGTTTTCATCCCCAGCTGCTCTCACTGACTGTGCCTTGGTGAAGGCCCTGTTCTTTTCCAGTCTCTGTATCTATTCAGACAACTGAATTAAAATTCTCAGCAACTGTGCCTGAGGCTGTCTCTAAAATCTGGCCAGACAACGTCCCCCATTTTATTTAGCCCTGGAACCATGCTAAAGACCATCCTCTTCAGATAAACCTGGCAAATTCCCCCACACCGTCACGGCTAGAGTTCAGAGAAATTAACTAGCAAGCAAATACTGATGTGCCAGTCAACTGAGTCTACACTGTCCATTTTATATTATACACTCTTGGAAAAAGACCCTGACACTTCCTAAGTGTTAAAACAGTAGCACCCTCTAGTGTTGAGCCATTGATGAAATACATACAACCGGCAGCAGCAGCCCGATCCAGCCTGAACAAAATACAACCTAAACTCAAGAGCCCTGGTTTGGCGGTTGAGTCCGGCTGATTTTATTGAGACTTATTCCCACGCATATTCATAAACTTGCTATTATGGAAAGATAAATAGTACAAAACAAACTTTCTGAGATTTTCATGACTGTCCCCATCCTTACACCCAAATCTTCAGCACAATTAATCTTCAAAATTAAGATTATCTAATAAACAGTGCTAACAGTAACACAATATGTGACATAAACTAACAAACTGATGGTTTGATAAGAGATAGGTTTGGTGTAAATATATGATGTTATTGTGTTCAACAATAACTGCATTTTACAATTAGCAACAACACATAAATGTGTTTTGCATGGGAGGTTGTGTTGCTCCTTTGTTTTTTAAACATTTTAACAATTTGTAAACTGCTCAGAGTCACTGGGAGTCAGGCAGTGTATACATTTAATAAATTACTTTTATTTTTATTATTATTATTACTACTACTTACAAGTCACTGGTACCTCCTGGAGGTTTATATTTAAGAATGCCAAGCAGGGTCAACATCCGTTTCGCTGTGTGCTCTGGCAACTCTTCTCTAATGTCAACAATATGCTGAAATGTTTAACCACAGTTGAGGTACAACTGGCATAACAAACTTCATTATGCAACTTAAGCAGACCAAATATAATGAGTATTAACAGCCTGGGGATGTTCTATAGAATTTCCCAGAAGTGAAAAATTAGTAATGCAATCCGATGGGCTTTTCCCGGCCATGATCTGAGCCTGGTCATAGTTAGATGCACAGTATTTCAATGATCTTAGGCATGACTAACTCTCATAAGATGAGGAAAAGGGCCTTATTTCAAGCCAAATCACTAAGCCAGCCAGCTCTGCATTCTGTGTATCAGCCTTCCTCGATCTGGCACCCTCCAGATAAGTTGGTCAAAACATTCACAATTCCCAGTCAGTCCAGCCTTTGCCCAGATCTGGGTGCCAGCCTGGATAAGGCTAGTCTAAATGATCAAGTCATACTGAATCGTAACTGTAAAGCTGGAAAGGATCCCAAGGATCATCTAGTCCAATCCCCTGTGAGAGGCAGAAAAAACAACCGAACTATCTTTAAAAGGGGCTGCTCAGCCTCTTCTTAAAAACATCCAGAGATGGAAAACCTCCCAAAACCTCTGCTGGTAGACTGTTCCACTGTTGGCCAGATCTTACCATCAGGAACTGTTTCCTTATATTTAAACAGAATTATAAAGATATCACATTACAGTTCTTTAAAGGCAGCAGGCCATTTTTTATTTTAAAAATACTATTTACCTATACCAGTTAAGGAGGACAGCAGTACAGAAGGGCTGACCCTCTGTTTAGGCAGCATAATTTTTTTAAACTGGGGAGGGGCTAAAAGAAAGAAAAGAAGATTCTAGTAGATGTCAAGGGATGAAGGACAGTGTATGTATTGCTGCCATGACCATCATATGATTAAGGGGCCTGGAATTAGTTCTTGATTATAGCAGTCTATAAATATAATACACAAATATATAAAAAGCAGGGCAGACACTTTCAATTAATAAGTGATCAATAAGCTTTCCAAGCACAGATTTCAACCTTGTAAAATCTGACCTACCTTGGGGTCAATCTCTCCTAGAACATCACTGAGCAACTGTAAGAGCTGCATTGACTCCAGAGAATCAAAAGTGATTAAGTTGAAGTTCTTTTTAAAAGGCTCCTTGTTGAGCTTCTCAACTATGAATTTCAGTTGGTCACTCATAATGGTGTCTAGAAAAGCACCTGCAGGAGAGGAAAAGAGAAAGAGGCTGAAGGGTTGGGAAGAAGCTGCTGCTACTATGGGACCTCTCAAAAACTCACAAAAACAGCCCGTGCAAAAGGCATCAGGGAGGGAGGGTGGTCATGCCAGGGACGAGGACCAAGCCCCCAGAAAAGCCTGCCTTCCCCAACCTGGTGCTTCTTCAACCACAATTGGCCCCAACTCTGCAGGTCTTCAGAAAGGCAGTTAAGATCTAGCTCTTTCCCCAGGTCTTGGGGTCAGGTGGAGCAGAGCCCCCATTGGATGAGCTGAAACATCTCTTATTCTGCTTGCCATTTTACTGCATTATTTACCTATTTAAGTAAAGCCGCCCAACCCCCCAAAGACTTTTGTCTCCATTAAACAGAGAGTGGCTTCCATTAAATGTAGAAAACCATTAAAAAAAAAGTTGGGTTTAATGCATTCGGTTGTTTCTCTTCTGTTGCATCGGCTGTGGATCTTTTTTCCCTTCCTCATGCACCACCCGGATTCCGGTTGTCCAAGTTGGGCAGCCATATCAATACATAAAGAATCCTCACCCACACCAGGCTGTGCTGTCTGGGGATTATGACACCCCTCTAGGCTGCACCTCCCTGCCGAGAAAAAAAAGGACTGTTTTCCTCTTTTCCCGACGCTGGGCCCGATGCCCTTCCGTCCTTCCTCTGCTCCCCCACTGCATGCTCCTCGGGGCCCAGTCCAACTCCCTCCCGTTCAGGGGAAGCTGGCTAGGAGGAAGCGGGGCCCCTCAGCTCCCCCCCACGTTAAGCAGGCGAAAAGAAGCATGACGACCCCCGCGCGCCCTCCTCAGACGGCCCCTCTCCACCTCCCCTCAACTCGCGCCCCTTCCCCACCTTAAGAAGCGCCCAGCCGCCCGGGCCCTTAGCGACGGTTGCTAGGCTACGGCGCCGGGCCAGTTCCGCTCACGTGACCGGCATGGAGGCAAAGTGGGCGGGAAAGAGGCGCGGTTTGTCGAGCGCGCGCTTAAGAGCGGAGGGCACGCCCCCCTCCAGCCGATGATACGAGGGCAGGGCGGGGCAGGGGGGGGGGGGGGGGGAAAGAGATCTGACCGCGCCTGCGCAGTGCGAGGAAGTGCGTTTGCCTGCCTCTGTGGAAGGAAGAAAAATATCCTTTTTTAAAAATGAAGGGGAAAAAGAGGCTTCAGTGTAGTCGAGGATCACTTCAGTATCAAATGAACTCGGCCTCCCCTTCCCTCGTCTGTCAGAAGGCTTGGACTACAACGCCCAGAATCCACAGCCGGTTGGCCGAGGGTTTGGAGAGTTCCATCTGGAAAAGATTGTTTCCCTGTTAATGGCGGTGACCGCACACACCACAGCATTTAGTCCAGCTGGGCGATTTCCAAAAGACTAAGGCGCCTGGATGGATGGGAGACCACAAGGAAATCCTGCCAAAGAGGAAGGGAAGGGTGAAGTGCTTCCATGTTGCTGACCAAAAAGTCAGGAATGTTGGGGGGAATGATTTGGGACATGAAACAAATAATTAGCCTGTTTCACGGGGGCAGAAGCCTGCCTTACTCTGTTTCCCTCCTCCTACTTTAACCTATCCTAAAATCAGGATTAGGAAACGTCAGGGGAACTCACTGCTGTATTTGTTAGGATCCCCAAATGGGATTGTGCAGAACCCCCCCATCTGGATTCGCCCCTGGGGCTTTCAAAGCGTCCGAAAGCCCTTCTCGGCATCCAGAGAAATACATCCCATCCTGAACGACAGGAAAAAAGCCGTGTGACCCACGTGCTTCCTTTTCAAAAACAGCATCGCTTGTCCCATCCCGTACGGCCTGTTTCCTGCCGCTTCCATCCCTTTCAGTGCAGCTTCCCGGGATAAACTTGAAGGAAGTGCGCTAACTGCTCCCTCCCCTGCCAGTGCCGGATGAAGAGCTGGAGCGGAAAATGGAACATGTGCATCGGAGCCACAGTTGTTCCAGCGAGAGCCTCCCCTTAATTCCCTCGCTGCGCCTTTAAGATTTGTGGTGTGGTTTTCAGCAGTTGTGTCTGCCCGGGGCCAAGGAGCTGCAGGGTTCTGCGCCAAACTAGAAACTAGAAGGGACCGCCTGCCAGGATGGCGGGCTGCTGCAGCTTGAAGAGCGTGTGCAGCTACGAAACGGCCAAAGTGGTGCACATCCAGAGCGTCTACTACGGGAGCCTGAGGTGGGCGATCCATTCAGTGGTTTTCCTGTATGTCTGGTAAGTGGGACAGGAAAAGTCTGGAGAAACCCGCGGGGAGCGGAAGCAGATGGGGAACTGGGTTGCGGGTATCCCTCTCCGGGTCAAGATGTCAAATAACAACCACAGCAACAGCGCACTCTCGAAAGTAGACCTTAAATGCTCCGGCAGGGACTTTCGATAGATCAGCTTCCCGTTCGTCTGATTGTTGCAATCCACAAACTTCGAAGTTTTTGAGATATCGTGAGATGCTTTTTTGCCCCATAATAGAGGAATTGCTGGGAATCTGTTGCCGTGGAAAAGCCACATGTATTCCTTTTTAGGGTGTCCAAAGCATGTCACACTACACACTGTACAATGCATTATTGTTAGGATCTCTGGGGCATATTGGGTCCGTGGGCTGAACTGAACAGGTAAAGAATGTATTCTCAGGTAAGTGTGGGCAGAATCACTGTTTAAGGAAGTTGCTTCCCAGAGCAGAGATACGTTTCCACTTGAGTTGAGCAGAAGAGGGTTGTAATTATCTAGAGATCTTTTAAGGGATCTCCCCGCTTCCAAGTGTATCATTCAATGGAAGCTGTTTTCGTCCAGACAAGCACAGCTTTGTGACTTTGGCACGTGAACTTTCCACCCACACAGAATAAATGTACTGATGTAACCAGCCACTCTGAAAGACCCTCTTTCTGGATTTTAGTGCGGTCCAAATGAAGAAATAACAATCCACAAACCTAGGAATCTTGCACGTTCTTTTAAGCCACATTTGGCTTAAAATATTTTGCTGAAGCAAGATCTATTATGCTCTCAGTGGACAATCAAGTACTTTCTAAACCTCAGTTCTCTCCTCTGTGAAATGAGCACAAAATGAACCCACCAGGTCAGACCCTTTCTGTTGTGCCTCTTCAGTGTCGTCCTTCTGGCTGATCGACGCTATCAGAAGAAAGATTCGGTCATCAGCTCAGTGCATGTGAAGGTGAAGGGGGTGTCACAGACTGACACAAGGGTTTGGGACACAGCTGAATACACAATCCCTGGGCAGGTGAGTCGTTTTTTGAAGGCAGAGGAGGAAACTATCAGGTTTCCAGTGAAGCAAAGGGTTGAACTTCAGGATACAGAGATGTATTAGAAAAGACACACACATGCCTGCTATCTGAAATGTGATACCACAATTCTTAGAGGGCTTGTTTAAGAGAAAGACAAGATGGTGTCTTCTGTGATGGATTGGAATTATGAAGGCCAGGCTCAGGGAGATAAACATTTTCTTAGCTCCCCAGAAGAGCGTGGGAGATACAAGAGGATGAGACTGGCACCTCCCTGAGGAATTCACGGTGTTGTGGCTGACTGACTT